ATACACTCCCTATTTCAAAACTTACTACAGTAATCAACAGTTTGTACTGGTATAAAAACAACTGAGGGTGCTGCTCAATGGTAGAGCATTTGCCTAGCATGTGCAGGGTTCTATGGCCAGTATGGAGGTGCAGGGAGAGTAGGGATACAGACACATAGATCAATGGAAAAAAATTGAGTCCATGGCTAAAGATGAAGCTCAGTGGTAAAGCATTTGATTAGCATATGCAAGGCCCTGGGATTGATCCTCAAGTCTGTAAAAACAAAGAGTCCAGATAAATCTTTACATTTATAGTCAATTAATTTTTAACAAAGGTACCAGGCAATTCAATGAGGAAAGAATAAGCTTTCAACAAATGGCCTGGGACAATCATATAACCATATACAAAAAGATGAATTTAGACCCTTCTCTTACTCACACCATACAAAATGAACTTAAAATGGATCATAGGCCTAAAGGAAAGGGATAAATTTGTAAAGTGTCTGCAACACAGAATGTAAATATTACAAAATTAGGTTGTAAAAAGAAAAATAAGATTGGGATGATGGCTATAAAACCCCATAAATTTACTAAAAGTTATTGAAAATATATATAAAAAAACACACGACTTTAGGCCAGTCAGCACTTTTCAGTAGTAATAATCATTGGAGAGCAGTCCAATTACTTTAGAAGATTAGGACAAGAGAGGCTCTCTCCTCCAAGGGATGTGAACAATACATGTGGTCCCCAAAACCACTGGCAGTCATACTACAACCATGAGTGGAATAGCAACAGACTAAAGCTAATATCATACAAAGCAAAACAGAAACAGAAAGAAATTGAGTCTTTAATATGATTGAGTTACTGTTCTTCTTACCCTACCTTTGGACTTTCAGATAAATGAACCTATGAATTTTTATTGTGCTCAAAGCAGCTCAAATTCTCTATTACTTATAACGTGAATTACAAATTGTAATAAAAACAAGTATGTTTTTTAAAATTGATTACTCTTTTAAATACTTTCAGTTATAGATGGACACTTTTATTTTATTTACTTTCATTTTTTTATGTGGTGCTGAGGACCAAACCCAGTGCCTCACACATGCTAGGCAAGTGCTCTACCACTGAGCTATAACCTTTTAACCTTAAATATATGATGGCAGATATTAAGGAGGAAATAATTCTAGATACACACATCAGAATAAAGACATGTTGAATGATTACCTTTCTAACAAAGTTCATGTATAAGCCTGAAAACTGATTTTATGTGACCCACATATACGTAAATATTTTAATTTGACATTTTAAAGTATTAATTTTTAATTCTAGATTTCCTGAAAAATCAAAAGGTGTGACACCACTGTATCCACGTCACTGTGTCACGACAATCATCTGAAACATAAGAGCAGCTGCTTCTTTAAGCCCACAGAGTACACTCTATACACTGTCAATACAAACCTAATATTTATGTGATCTGCTCAGCTCTTCTAAGTATTAAAGATTTATACTATAATATTTAGCAAGACATATATCAAACACCATATAATGGGTAAGGAAAATTATATTCCATCTTTTAAGTTTTAAGATTTTAATTCAAAATCAAATTTAATTAAATTACTTTTTAGAAAAAAAAATCATGAAAATATGATAAGAAACACTATTCTTGAATTAAATAGTTCTGAATGCCTTTATATTCTTGAGGGAAACCTAAACTCAGCAGCAAGTTTCTGAAACATGCAGTATATTAATTATTCTGAGTCCAAAAGTTTGAAAACCAAATTACTCTAACATACAGATGAAGAAATGGTCTTAAATTCCAGTGAGAAAAATRCAAGGTTGACCAGAAGTTTAAAATACTTCAATACACTAATGTACTATTAATCAAATTTATCTTTAAAACAGATATATAAAAGGAGTTATAGGGGCTGGGGATGTGGCTCGAGTGGTAGCGCACTCGCCTGGCATGCATGTGGCCCGACATGCATCCTCAACACCACATACAAACAAAGATGTTGTGTCTGCCGAGAACCAAAAACTAAATATTTAAATAAATAAATAAATAAATAAATAAATTCTCTCTCTCTCTCTCTCTCTCTCTCTCTCTCCAAAAAAAAAAGGAATTATAAGGGGATAGTGAATTTATACCAGTAAACTCAAGATACAATAGCAAACTTGGGAGGCAGTACTTCATACAGACAGACCTTTGGAGCAGCTCTGTGGCTCTACCACATGCTATCTGGATAGAGGAGGGAATGTCATTTAATTTTGACAGTACACACTCATTGTTTAAAGTAGCTACTACTTTTTTGAATTTTAGTTGTTGTTGTTGTACATGGACACAATACCCTTATTTTACTTATTTATTTTTTTATATGGTGTTGAGGATCGAATCCAATGCCTCACACATGGTAGACAAGTACTCTACCACTGTGTTACACCAAAGCTTAAGTAGCTACTATTTAATGAATAAAAAAGAATCAGTAGGACATGAGCCAGGTATGGTGGCTCACACCTGTAATCCTAGCAACTCAAGAGGCTGAGACAGGAGGATTGATTGCAAGTTCAAGGCCAGCCTCAGAAACTGAGAATAGACCCAGTCTCAAAATACAAAATAAAAAGAGTTGGGAATACAGCTCAGTGGTAGAGCATCGCTAAGTTTAAGTCCCAGTACCAATTTTTTTAAAAAAACTGAGGCTGACAATTATCTATTAGAAAATATCTAATTAGGTGCAGCAATACTGATGAAACTGAGATGGTCTAATTTACCAAAATCCCAACATTTCATTTTCCAAAATTTTTTAAAAACTGGCCAACACTCCGTGTATTGATCATTGCAAGTATTGTAAGAGGAAATGGGAAAAGAGGAACTGCTATCTAATCCTCTCAGCAATTTTTCCTGACCTACCTGCCAAAAGAATGATGGTGAAAAAGAAGTGTAATTGAACAAATTTTCCTTCTCCTTCTACCCAATCACCTGCTACCCTGCCAACATGCAACTATGGAGAATTTAACCAATGACCTTAAAATCTCTCTAGGTCTACATTTCTAAGCAGCATATAAGTAAACTATTACTATGGAATTTAGATTTTCTTTAATGGTAAAAATGCAAGTGACTCATGTTTGTTCAACCACCCCCACACCACACATTCTAAAGAACAGAGGAATCTGAATCCTCCTTCTGTCAAAGAATGTTGTGTCTTCACACACACAMAAAAAAAAACTAATTATGCACTATATCACTATCACAGGTTTCTGTTTATCATCCAAGATACATGAAGTCTAGAAAAAGAAAAAAAAAATCAAAAACTTGTTTTCAACTTTTTCTATTTTGATGTAAAGAATTAGATCAATTTGCATTTTATCTCCTTGAGACTCATATGCATATAAGCTTCACAAATAGAAGATTCCCAAAATGCTGATAACCACTGGTGCTGGATTACTGATACCAGAGTTTACTATACTATTATATATATGCACATTTCCATAGAATATAGTTTTTAAAATGTGCAGGGTGTGGTGGCGCATGCCTGTTATTCCAGCTAATCACAAGGCTGAGGCAGGAGGATGGCAAGTTCCAAGCCAATCTCAATAACTTCATGAAATCCTGTCTCAAAAAAATAAATAATAAGGGCTGGAGACATAGGTCAGTGGTAGAGCACCACTAGGTTCAATCCCCAGTACACCCTCTCAAAAAAAAARTGTGAGTATTTATACATAAACTCTCAATAATCTGGTAGAGAAATGCCATATTGTTCAAAGTTTTCATACTCCAAAAATAAATTAATTTCATCCAGCTACTTTTGAGAAGAGAAGTTGTATTGCAAATGAGCAGACTAGCACTTAAGGTCTAGTGTAGGAAATAATTAACCACCCTGGAATAATACAAGCCTAACCTTGAAAACACAGAGGCAAAGGGAAAAAGTGCTAAACAGTTATTACAACTATTGCACATTTTTATTTGGTGCCATCTGTTATCTTCTAACAGGCTGGGTGGAAAAGGGTAATTTTTTTTTTTTTAGTTGTTGATGGACCTTTATTTTATTCATTTATTTATATGTGGTGCTGAAAATCCAACCCAGTGCCTCACACATGCTTGGCAAGTGTTCTACCACTGAGCTACAAACCCACCTCTGAAAAGGGTAAGTATTTTGAGGCCAAATTTCCTTTTGATTCTTAAATTGATGACTAACAGGGACTGGAATAAACCTAAAAAGGCTATTAAAGATAACTATTTCTAAGAATGGACTAGAAGAAAAAAAGGAAAGTATCTCATCCACTTTTTAAAAATAGCATTCATAGTTCATAGTAGTATAATCAGTAATGTCCAATAATCAACTTTACGTCACTGTGACACACAAATTTACAAAAGAGAAAGATTATACCATATCTGCCTCAATCCTTTTTCAAATTGCCAATTTTCACAAGATTACTTTACATGCAATCCTAAATTCAATCAAAAATTTAACTTTGGTTACTTCTAAAAATAAAACATCAAAATTTAAAAATACTAACTGGCAGCAAATTAATCTTTCATTAGCATTATGAAGAAAAATTTTGTGTTTAAAACTTATTATGGCAAAACATAGCTTAAGCAAACTCAAAGACACCTTATTTCCAAGTCAAAAAAAAAAAAAAAAAAGGTCACAATAACTTAACTAAAACGTTAAAGAGAAATGCAGGCTTAAACATACCAGTACCAGGGGGGAAAAATATATATATATTACAGAAAACTCATCCACTGGAAAACACCCACCCATAAAAAAAAAAAAAACACTTCCACCGCAATAAAGATTTCCTCCGTACTGATGTGTTCACTTTCACAAAACTCAAGCATCCAAATTTGTATAATTCTCTTTAAATTGAAAACTGTAAGAAACGGCTTCATTTAGGTCAAGTACAACTTTGTATTTCTAACCATGGAAAAAGCCATCATCAGAGTAAAGCACATGACTCCAGCTTTAACGTCTTGTTCTCCAACTCACCAAGAAAAGTATATGCTTATAAAATATTCATCTACTTACCAGGTTAAAGACAGTTTCTACGATATCCCTATTGGATACTTCTCCAACTTCAACCAATCCCGTCAACACGGCAAATTTCATTCTGATGCCCCTGATGGGGAGCCCTGGCTTCAGAGACAATGCACCCCCTTCCGCAGGGGTTTCTTCTTTCCCTCCACCTCCCCCGTCATCACCTGTTGGTGGCGGGGAAGGGCCACGATTGTCTTCACTAGCCATTGCTAGKTCACGAGGAAGGACAACTCGGAGTCACCCCGAGGCAGCAGTAGCTGCACTGGAAATAAGCACAGGACACGCAAAGCCAAACGAAAAGGGTCTCTCTTCCAACTTGAGGAGAAACCCCAAAAGCAGTTGATGTGGAAAGTCCTTGGCGTCGCCCTCTTCCTCTTGGAGAATATTTGTCCAATCTCTCTCCCCGAGGCTGACAACAACGCCAAACCCTATTGGAAGATTAAATATATGTTAAATAGACTAGGTTTGGTTCGGGGGGACTGTGTGGGGGGAATAGTTATTGTCCGTCAAGTAAGTTACTAAAGGCACCCCGCCACCAGCCGCCCGCTTCTCCCGGGCTCCCGGAGCCGGTTCTGGCGAAGGCGGGTCCGGGAGGCCCGGAGCAGGTTCACTCCTCCCCCACACTCCCGCAGGTTCAGGGCGCAGGGCAACCTCTCCTCACAGGTGCACGGAAGAGAAACTGTCGCGGGCACAGGAGGGGCCGGGGAAGGGAGGGGACCCCCCACGCCACCACCGAGGCAGAAAGTTCCTCCTCACCCAACACTCCGGACTTGTCCTCGCCTCCTGCCAGGGAGCAGCGAGACGGAGGTGGCGGCGGAGAACCAGGGCAGGAAAAGGCGGGGGAAGGGGGCGGTGATTATCTCAACGCTCGGCCCAGGGGGAGGAGTGGRGCACCTCTCTCGGGCACCTGAGGTTCGGCGGCGAGAGGAGGGGAGGTGTGTGCTGTGGCAGGAAGGGAAGGGAGGCAGCCGGGGAGGCCCCAGGGCGAGGAGAGGAGGAAGGAGAGAGGTCAGTGCACCTGGTCGCAGCCTCCAAGTTTCCCTAGTCCGCTCCCCGGGAGCCCGCGGCTGCACAGAACTCCATGGTTTCCTGGCCCGCCCCACCCCTGCGCTCAGCCTTTGCAAAAACAGCCACTGCTGGCGCCACCGACGCCACGACTAAGGCTGCTGATGGTGATGAGGATGCTACTGCCACAACTCGCCCCGCCACGGCTCGCACCGCCGTCCCTGCGCCTACTGAAGCTGCTCCCGGCCGCCATGACAGCGCCGAGGGCTGCCGGGCGCGGCGTGCGCGTGCGCGAGCGCGGGGCGGTGGGGCGGGCGGGCGCGAAGGCGGAGGCAGGCGCACGGCTGGCGGGGGACGCGCGGGCGAGCTGGGGGGCCGTGAGAGGGCKGGGGCTCAGGGCACCCGCTTCCTAGGAGGAACGCGAGTGAGTGTGCCGCCCGGCAGACCTGCCGCTCAGGTAGCACCCGGTGTGTCCCCCGCCCTGCGAGGACAGTCCTTTCCTGCCAGGGGCCAGCTTTTCCTCCCTGCCCACCCCCCGACCTGGGAAAGCGCGTGGGCAAGTGCYGAGGCTGTGATTCCGACGCTCCTGCGGTTGTTAAGTTACCGCAGGGTCTCTTGGCGCGGAGGGAACCGCCCCTGGTTGCCAAGGTGCCGTCTTGGACTCGGAGAAGGACACCTGAGGGACCTCTGCAAGTCAGGGAGGTGGCAGCGCTGGAGCCCGCGAGGCTGCTGTCTCTGCCTAAGGGGAGCCCAGAGTCCCCACCCCCCGCTGCTCTCGGCTGCTGCCCGCCCGCGGCGCTGAGCGGAGACTTGGAAAGAGATTTCCACTGGGATGCCCCGCAGCTGCCGGGTTCCAAAGGGGAGAGGAGGAGACCGCGTCCACCAGGAATGGGAAGGATTCCTTGCCCCGCAGCTGCCGCCCCACCAAACCTCTCCCACATTCTCAGGACAGGAGGATTCCCGAGACAGCTGCTCCCGACAGCGTGAAGGGGGGTTGACTGCCCCTGGATGGGGGTGGGGGCCCTCTCGTGATTTTCCAATGTCAAAGTTGGGTTTTCCTCATTCTCGGAATAATTTAAAAGGTACATTATATTAGGTTGAAGCCAGGATAGATCGTCATACTCTAAGAGTGTCCTTCCCCTCCACCCTCACTGCTAATGATAAAGCATCAGTGAATAATGAACAGAGGGAGGTAAAGTTTGGCCCTTAAGGTATCATACCCTTGAGGCCATAAGACCTCTAAAAAAATGTTTAAAGTACTCCTAAATTCCTAAAGTGAAAGTGAAGCAAAAAGCAAAAGGAAGTACTCTGGAGGAGTGAGAAGAAAACTCATATTGGTTTGAGAGATGAAATATTTGAGAGGGCCTTGAAAAATAGACAACTCTCACAGGGAAATTTGGTAGGAGAGACGCAACAGGAGAAAAGACTCAAACTTGCCTAGTACACAGGCCTGTAATCCCAGCGACTCTGGAGGCTGAGGCAGGAGGATCGCAAGTTCAAAGACAGCCTCAGCAACTTTGTCAGGCCCTAAGCAACTTGGTGAGACTATGTCAAAATAAAAAAAAAATACAAAGGACTGGGGGTGTGTCTCAGTGGTTAAGTCCCCTAGGTTTGTATGGCAGTATGTAAAAAAGTGGATGTGTAACCGATGTGATTCTGCAATCTGTATACCGGGTAAAAATGGGAGTTCATAACCCACTTGAATCAAATGTATGAAATATGATATGTCAAGAACTATGTAATGTTTTGAACAACTAATAATAAATTTTTTTTAATTGGCCAATATATGAAAATAATAAAATAAAAAAGAAGCTAGAGAGTGTCTTAAGTATCAAATCTTTTTAAAATACTAAAAGAAAAAGAAATTCAGTTGTATCATAAGTGGGTTTAGATATTTCAAAGATGAGGCAGACTTTTTCCTGATGGAATTGCTGACTCCTGCACTTTCAAGGTAAAAGGCAACATCAGTGGTTCATCACCTAAAATCCCTGAAAAATTAAACACCTCAGATTTACATTTCAGAGGTTAAATGACTAAGTCTGGAATAAAAAGGAGTGTGGGGTGGGGGCCTACCTGCAGGAGAGAAATTTACATTTGAACTTTCATAGGTCTGTATTTTGAAGGTGGAAGGCATTAAACCATTAAACTCTTCTGTTAGGATTTTGCTTACTCCGATTTGAGCAAATAGCTTCATACATCTGGCTTATAAGCACTAAAATTTTTTTTTGTTGTTGTTAAATAAATGCCTTCCATTAAAAAGAAGGAGATGAACCACCAGCATGGTGGCACACTCCTGTAATCCCAGAGGCTCAGGGAGGCTGAGGCAGGAGGATCACAAGTTCAAAGCCAGCCTTTGCAAAAGCTAGGCACTAAGCTACTCGTGAGACCCTGTCTCTAAATAAAATATAAAATAAGGCTGAGGATGTAGTTCAGTGGTCAAGTGCCCCTGAGTTCAATCCCAGTACCAAAAAGAAAAAAAAAAAGGAGATGATAATAGTGAAAATATCCTCAGAGTTACTCAGACCCAATGATCAAGGGTTAAGGTTTATGTCTCATGCATTCTCAGACTCACAGGTAATACTGTCCTAATGGTTGATATAAGACAATTATGCAATTATTTCAAAACAAATTGTAAAGTGGGCAAGGTGGTATATCCCCTAATCCAGGATACTTGGGAGCCTGGGGCAGAAGGATCCCATGTTTGAAGCCAGCCTACACAAGTGAGAACCTGTCTCTTAAACTTTTTAGTTGGAAATATAGCTTAGTGGTACAGTGCTTGCCCAGCATGTATGAAGCCCTGGGCTCAGTCCTCAGTACCGTGTACACAAAGTAGTTTTGTTTTGTTTTGTTTCAGCCTCCCACATCATTTATTTGCCTATGCTTACAGTTAAATAATTGGCAAAATTTCAGGCTGACTGCAGGAAAAAACATAAGGAAAGCAGATGGGTAAACTTCACTTCTAGACACAATTAAAATTCTATAGCTGTGGATTATTATTGAGGTTTACAACATGAGAACTGTGGAAAAATTCAATCAAATCTTAAACTCCTTCATGGCACAATACATGTAAGTACTCCACGACATACTACTTGGGTTTTTTGTTTGTGGTCCCGGGGATTCAACCCAGAGGCATTTTATCACTAAGTTACATCCCCAGCTATTTTTATTTTTATTTAGAGACAGGGTCTAAGCTGCCCAGTCTGGGCTCAATGTGTGATCCTCCTACCTCAGCCTATTCCCACCCTTAATTGCACTACAGCCTGGATTTTTTTTTTTTTTTTAACGGAGATTGAACCCAGGGGAGTTTAACCACATAGCCACATCCCCAGCCCTTTTTTACATTTTATTCAGAGACATAGTCTCACTGAGTTGTTCAGGGCCTTGCTAAATTGCTGAGGGTGGCTCTGAGTTTGTGATCCTCCTGCCCCAGGCTCCTAAACCACTGGAATTACAGGTGTGAGCCACCAAGTCCTGCCCACACTTGGATTCTAAACATACTATTTGGATTAAGTTAAACTCCGAAGTCACTTTCTTTCATTTTTCTGATCTTAAAGCCCTTGCCTGTGTCTACAACTATTACTAGTTAGAATGAGAAAAATTCTGGTATAAATGGGTATTTTAGGCATATTCATATAAAATTAGTTTTTACTCCATAGTCCAAATATATCTGGGATTCAAAATAGAACCTACCACTTTACCACAGTGATAGGACTCTTTGAATTGTTAATCTTTGGCAGCCTCAAGTTTATTAGAGAATAAAATTACAACATAACATAATATCTTAATCTTCCAGTAATAAACTTTCTAAGTAAAAAGAATTAAAAGCGGATATCTTAATAAGAAAAGCAGTGTACCTTTTTTTGTATTTTTGGAACTATTAATGGATGTTTTCTACTCAAAAGACTTCATGTGAATTATCAACCCATGAATTTATATGACTGCCTTACCTGTATCCCTGTATCTCTCTCTCTCTCTCTCTCTCTCTCTCTCTCTCTCTCTCTCTCTCTCTCACACACACACACACACACACACACACACCAAAAGAGAGAAAAGAAAATAGGAAAAGCAAGAAAGGGAATAAATATTACCTCCTGGAAGTCCAGACTGAAGTTTCCTATTGCCATCTAATTTGTTTCTCTCTCTGACATCAACATCTTGGCAGAATTAAGAATCAAAGATTTTTGTAATTTTCCTTGTCTTCAGAATACACCAAAATCAACAGAAAACGAAAAAGGGCCAGAGGTGTATGTATCTCAGTGGTAGAGTATTTGCCTACTATATTCTGAGGCTCTGAGTTTAATCCCATCACTGACAAAAGAAAAAAAATTAAGTGACATTAAATATGTTTAAAAAAAATAAAAAACAGTGGATTCAGAACAGGAAGCTATCTGCATAATTCAGAGGAACTCAAGCAAAGAGAATGTAATTTCATGCTGAAATCAAGATTATCAATCTACAAACTCGTACCCATATACAAAGAGAAATTTTTTGAGAACAGAGATGGATGGAATGTTCTTTCCATCAGGAAAACACTCAATCCACGCAATTGTAAATTCTTGGCATTTTGCTAAGGTACAGATTAAACGATAATTTAGGGTAAGTTACCACCTAAATGATCTGCAGTGCATCTATGTGCGTGTCCCTGGATTTATATTTCTTCAGTTATTCTTCAGCACAGTTTATGATATTTTAGGCTGAAAATTAACATCCCTAGCTAACTCCCTCTTTTGAGAAAGTCAAATATTGCTTGTACTATTCATTAAATATTACTAATGTTAAGTAAAACGTCAAATGTTAGTAACCCTTATTAATGACTTTTTTTTAATGGTACTGGGAATTGAACCCAGGAGAACTCTTTGGTACCTCTGAGCTACATCCACATCCTCAGTTTCCTCCTCCCTGCCTTCCTCTTCTTCGATAGAGATAGAGATAGGATCTTGCTAATTTTTTTAAATAGGACTAGACTTTGTAATCCTCCTGCCTCAGTCTCCTGAGTAGCTGGGATTAAGGCATGCTCCACAGCATGCAGCATTAATGACATGTTTACTGAGCATGAGACTCTAGGAACAATTACAATGTAAAGGAGAAGAAATTGCCTATTCATTGCTAGAAACTCAAAAGTTTAACATTAAAAATTCTTTTGATTGTTTAAGTTCAAAATGATCCAAATCACCTTGCTACATTTTGGACATTTTTTAAATCATTTCCTTTGTGTGTGTGTGTGTGTATGTGTGTGTGTATGTGTGTGTGTGTGTGTATACACATATATATCCACAAAAAGGTAGAGGTATTAAGAAGGGCAATTCCAAATTTGGCAAGTATGCTAAACAAAACATATCTTTTTCTTTCTCTTTTTTTCATGTGCCAGGGATTAAACTCAGGGGTCCTTAATCACCGAGCTACATAACCAACCCTTTTTATTTTTTATTTTGAGATAGGCGCTCACTAACTTATTTAGGACCTTGCTAAATTGCTGAAGCTAACTTCAAACTTGGAATTCTCCTGTCTCAGCATCCCAAGATGTTAGGATTACAGGCATGCACCACTGCATCCAGCCATAGCATGTTTTTAAGACATAAAATATTTGTGCAGTATTTAAGGGGTTGATAGAGACACACACTAGATTGGTTGATTTGTTCTCTATTTTCCCACCCCTGTTTTGTTCTAAAGTAATATGTAAATAGGTAGTGCACGTGTAGTGTTCCCTTATGATAGATAGTACCACTAGATTGTGATAAAATGTAATACTACCCCCACCTGCCATTGCTTTTTGTTGTGTTGGTGGTGATGATGGTGCTGCTCCTTCTGCCACTGCTACTAAGGACAGAACCCAGGACCTTGGGCATGATGAGTAAATGCCCTACCACTGAGGTACACCCCCAAGCACCACTGCAATTTATATAGGTGCATGTCTCTAGAATAATTATTAGCATTGGGCAGCTAGGTTTGGTGGTCCAGTTGAGGTATTGGGCAGACCAATGCATCCC